ATGTGGAAGCACCAACAAGGACCAGCCCTGGAGAATTCTAAGTCAGGGTTAATCGCTGCACAGCCGAGCGATGCCCTGGTCCTTTGGTTCGCCAGTCCATCCACAGCTCTGCAACCACTTCCTGGACTTCAATGCACTCTTCGCAACTCTGTTGGCTCCACTTCACTCTCAAAAAAAGTATTTTCTTATGGAAAAAAAGATATTCCTTTTACTGCGAAATAATGGCTCGGATGTCACAAAGTAGATGTGAGGAACCCCTACAAGTTAGCGTTAGGGCCTCTGGGCTGAAAAGCCGTATTTTCCCAGGAAGTGGGCACTAATCACTTGAGTACAGAGGTCGAGACCCAGCCTGGCAAACCATGGGCAAGACCCCTGGTATTCTGCAAAATAAAAAAATGTTTTTCAATTATCCTGCGTTGGTAGTGTGGCGCTGCTATCCCAGCTCCTAGGGGAGGCCGTGAGGTGGGAGGGAGTGCTTGATCCGCAGAAAGTCACAACGGCCCTGCAGTGAGGCATGATGGTGCCACTGCACTCCAGCCTGGTAACAGGGTGAGACCCTGTCTTAAGAAAAAGAAAAAAAGGCCGGGCGCAGTGGCTCAAGCCTGTACCCGCACTTTGGAGGCCGAGACGGGCGGATCACGAGGGCAGGGAGATCGAGACCATCCTGGCTAACACGGTGAAACCCATCCCTCTAGCCGGCAGGTGGCTCAAGCCTGTAATCCCAGCACTTTGGGAGGCCGAGACGGGAATCACGAGGTCAGGAGATCCGGACCTATCCTGGCTAAACACGATGAAACCCCGTCTCTACTAAAAAACATACAAAAAAACTAAGCCAGGCGAGGTGGCAGGCGCCTATAGTCCAGCTACTTGGAGGTCGAGGCAGGAGAACGGCGGTGTAAACCCGGGAGGGCAGAGCTTGCAGTAGCCGAGATCCAGCCACTGCACCCAGCCTGGGCGAACGGAGGCAAGACTCCATCTCAAAAAAAAAAAAAAAAGAAAAAAG